GTTCTGGAGCAGACAGCAGGCATTATTCTTTTCCCCTTTTAATTGCAAGAGGAAATAGCCCTGCAGAGCATACATTGAGCATCAACTCAAGAGTGTTGAGTGCTGTAGAATTGAAAAGAATAAGTTCTTCTATTAAAAAAGTTTTCTGATTTTACTCAAGAAAGGAATAGAAATTTCAGCTCATACTTTTCTCAGATATCTGATTTGAGCTCCTGAGCTTAAGAAGTGATGAAGACTTTTTGCGCAAGATTTTAAATGAACTGGGAGTTGGATGAAGTTGCCCCCAGTACGGTATGGGCCACCAGCTGCCTTCCAGCTCTCAGTTATTCCCCAGTCCCTTTCCCAGAAGAGGAGCTGAAAGGCTTAAAACATTACTGACTTCTCCTTGAATAAGCTGTCTCCTGACAAAAGCAACACCTACATCTCTACCTTCAAATTCAGAATCACTGTTTCAGTTTTTCACAGTGACATTGCTGTGCTCATTCAGCTGACCCAGAGGGCACTTTTATTCTCCAGACCTGCACCAGCTCTCTGCTGTTATTTCTCCAACAACTCCCTCTTCCAGATCTCAACCAAACATCTGTGTCTTCACTACTTACCTCACACCCATACCTCCTGACCCCCAGTTGCCATCCCACATGCAGCTCCATGTTTCCAATGTCAGACTTTATTCTGGCACTTTCTCAACAGACCTAAGGATTATTATTTTTTTTTTTTTATTTTGTGATGTTCACATTGATAAAAATTGTGACTACAAAGACACGCACTTCTAAATTAACATTATGGATTATTTAATGCATTCCTGGTTTTCTGAACTCTGAGTTGGTGGGAAAGTTTCCAGTTGCTTCCTCACTTGCCAGCTCAGAGAGCTGCAAGTATTCATTTTTCTTATCTGATGTGACTTTCACTTTCTAGAAGCAGTTTGCAGATTCATGACAATCAGAGGCTTTATGCCTCTCACACGTGTTATATTCCATAGCGATCAGCGAGCACCTAAAAATCCAACTCCATCACCCCCAAGCAGCTACAGGCCCAGGAGCTTTGAGATATTGCTCAAATGAACAAGGTCAAGGCATTCAGACAGGACTAAACAAGAAGAATTACACTTCATCAGCAGCAATCCTCCTCAGTCACCAAGTCCAACAATTCCCAACAGAGTATTACTGATACATTTAGGAATGGCAAGACGGACAATAAAGATTATGAACTGAATTACAGTTTACATGGACAATTAGGTGAGAAATCAGTAAACTGTCTGATACTCACTCAAAATTATGCATTCACAAGCTCCTGCCAATTACACTCACATTTGTTGGTAATGGAAGCTCAGTTTTGTGATTCCACTTTTGATATTCCTTCTGGCAGTACTTCATTCCTCTACTTACCATCCAGCCTTTATTTTTTCTTTAAACTATTAAACATAGAATGCATAATATATTTTACTAGAAAAGTAGCTAGAGATGGACATTTTTAGTATAGAAGATGGCCTGAAAGCCATTTTTCTTCCATAATACCAGCAAGACACTATTCCTTTCCTATAAACAAAATTTATGCTAGTCAAGCACAAATAAGTTGGTATTTTTAGTGAGAAGAGAGGAAAAATACTCTTAGCTCTAACCCTGGTTCTATTTCTTTTAATACTATGACATTTTCTTCCAATTTGGTTATAAGAAAGCTCGTGTGTTTCCTTAAGGCAAAGGCTGTGTATAAAAGAGTTCAGTTCACAGCAATATTCCAGTAATTCCCACACACCCTCACCCCCTCCATTTATCAAATGATCATTGAAATCAATCTGATTTTTTTTTTCCCCCCTTTCAATGAGAATTAGATACTTTTCAATGGAGAAAACATTAATTGGAAGAGCCTGATCCCTCACAATGTGTTCTGGCAGAGTGCTGCTGTTCCTGCGACTTCAATTACTTCTAGGGGGTGGGGGAGGTTAAATAGGGATTTGCCAAAGGAGAATATCAAGAAATTTCTATTTGCCTGATTTTTTCTTTTTACATACAAAGACAGGAATGGGTATCAGGTGGGTGCAAAGTCACGCAGCAGCCTAGGGAACTCTTGCCTTTATGGGTTGGCATCCATTCACAAGACAACCCATGGAGACATGGCTGCTAGAGGGCAACAAACATCTCTGAGTCATCTCCCAAGCTCTCAGGTACCAGCAGTGCTATGCTGAAAGCGATGGATCTGCTGTGATCTACACCAGCAGAGCCTTAAGCACCTCTGTTCTTTAGGTTCCTGTAACTTATTTGGATGTTCGTCTGTAACAACAACGTGACTTTGTGTGCCTGATCTTCCAACTACACCGCTCCTTTTCAACATGAAAAACAGCAAACCTCAACCACACAAGTGGCAGGGTGAGTTGTTTCAAGATAGCATGTAGCCAAGGTTCATCATAGATTAAATTATCCCACAAAGAAGAGGTTACTACTGAGAACGAAGAGATTTGGGTACATTATCATTCCCTTTCTGGGTTTAAATTCTGAATGACTTTTAGGTGAATGACTGCCTTCCTGAGGATGCAGACATTTAGGCATCTTCTTTAAGTAGAGATACCAGAAAATCCTCATTTCCCAAGCTCTCCAAAGTAGCTCTCTGAACTTTCTGATACTCCCTGCTCAAATTCAGATGCTTCCTGCTCAGGAAAATCAGCCATTTGTGGACTATGTGGCCACAGGCATCCCAGAAACATCGTATTCAAATAGTTTCTTGACATCAGGAGTGCATGAGTTAATTAAAAAGCAATTAACTTTTCTGTTCCCCTTCTACTTGTCTCCATTCAGCATTCCAATATGCTGAAATATAACAAACAGCAAAGGGCAGCAGATAGCATAAGAATTCATCACATTTTCTGCAGGGAAATATAATATTTGTAAGGAAACAACTTTTTTTTTTTTTTTTTTTTTTTTTTTTTTTTTTTTAAAAAGAGGCAGCTATACATCACATTAGGTTCCACTGCAATGTTTAGGCAAAAAAGATAGGAAGCACTTCCCTATAAGGTGGTTACTTCCTCCAGATAAAATAATAAGGCTCAGCACAACCAGGAACCTTAAAAGAAATGCTTCAACCCACATTATATATTTAAAACCACAAAGTGTCCATTTTTATTCCTGTGATTATTCCTTGTTTATTTGTCTTCTGCCTCAAAGGAAGCAAAGAGCTTAAGAAGAAATAATCCCTTCTCCCCTTTCTGGTCACGTTGCAGCTTGCACATGACAGCAGATTGGCAGCAGGACAGCCAGGAGGGAGCTCAGTGTAGGAGGAAGGAAGGGGCAAATCTCAAAGCAACCACCAGCAGCACAGAACCCTTGCCAAAACCCAGCAGCTGACCAAAGGTCTCAGCGATAGAAATATGCTGTTGTCACAGAATATATAACTAGCAAACCACTTTTTTTTTTTTTTTTTTTTGTAGTTCACACTTCTATTACAAAATTACACTTTCATTTAATAGTTGCACAACCACCAGATTGTTTTGATGTCAGTGCTTCATGAAACACTCTGATCTCGTTTGACCCCACTGAAGCCAAGTGCAAAATCCATCCTGATATAGTTTTCCAGCTGAGTTCTTCAAACAGAGTAAATTAAGGTATAGCTTGTTCTAACAATGAAGTGAAATTATTCAAAATCAATTATCACATAAAAGGCATCCCAAATTAGAAGCTCACTGAGCTTACAACTTAACATCCCAGCCCCAAATGGAAATCAATGCATCACTGAACCAAAGCAATCAGACTGCAGAACACTTACTTGAGAGGAAAAAAAGAAGAATTTCCTCCTTCCCTGCCCCGTGCAGAAACTGCTGCTGTTAGCTGGGACCACCAACAGCAACCAGAGTAACCACAGCTGAGGATGCTTCACCATCAGACCTCTGCCAGCATCACAGAGACTTCCAAGCACAAATAGCCCACTGCTTCTTCTGCCTTTGCCTTTAAACCCAGCCCCTGATTCACCTTGGCTTTATCTCACATATGTGGAACAGCTGTGGAGAAGCTAATGACTTGCTTGGAGTCCTCTGGAGGAGGGAAAGCCTTCCAGGCTGGCGCTCAGCTATGGAGCTGCGCTCCTCTCTACATGTAAATGATAACCAAAGAGCTCTGTGCCAACATAGGATTAATGGAAGTAGCTTCTCATTGGGTTTTAAAGCAAAGGACACACTGGTGATAATGCTATTTTCCACAGTTGCATGACTATTCATATAGAGAAATAGAAATTTATATAAATGTATACATATATATAGATACACATATACATCATGGGCATATACATACATACATATATACACACGGTGTTATCTACACATACACAGATTTGTATATACATATATATAAATATATATACCCACAAATATACAGACAGCTTTCCTCTTTTTAGCTAGCTACAGCTATAAATTCTCCCTCCCCCACAGAGCCAAGATGATCTGCGTTGCCTCTGCTGAACTCTCCACGGTTGCCTTTCCATCACAAATTAAATATAATACTCATTATCCTGCAATTCTGGTTCCTGAGAAACTTGGCAACATCTCTGAATGACTTCAGATGCAGCATTTTCTCCCGCATTGCCTCTGCTAACCTATTCCACGAGATGCAATATGCTGCTAAGACGAAGTGTCCAAAATGCTAATACGTCTGAGAAATGCCTCCACTGACCTACATTAGGAATGTAGGTCTTAAGGTACACATTTTCAGCTTTATCACCAAAATGCCCATATTTTAATAACAGTTCAAAGCAAGCCATATGCCTGAATCTCACGGAATTTACAAAAAAATGACTTTTACACTTGAACATGCTAGCATATACACATATACATACACATTCAGAGACTGTATATACGTATATAATGCACACATTCAGCATCATCACTTCCCTACATACATCAGCCCCTCCATTTCAGCAGAAGTAACAACGTGGGAGGCGGTTACTTCTGCTTTGAGCTAGCAGAAACTAATTTTAGGTTGTTGTACACGGAACATCTTTGCATTATCCCTGATGCATACCTGTTAGGGATCCATCTTATCAGTGCTTTGTGCTCTGAAGGCTTTAACAGACTTTGGCAGGCTTGCAGGGCTGGCAAAGCACAAGGCATGTAATACCACCGTGGCTAACCTCGGGAGGCTGCTTACAAAGCTGAGTTACAGGTAGGCAATCCCGTCGATACATCTTACAGAATGAAGTCTTGAGGTGCAAAACATCACTCTACAGAAAAACCCAACAAAGATAACCATATTTTCAATTGGTCTCCATTTCTCTCGCACGGTCAACGTGCAAACCGAGGCGTCACAACCCACTGTCAGCCAAATGATTATCTATCTCTGCATGCAGGCAGGTAAAAGCGATGTGGAGAATGCCAACAAATCTGAAGGCTGCCTGAGAATTCAGACTCAGTGTCGGGGAGAAGGGATTCTGTAAGACATTTGTTCCCCTGCTCTAAAGGAGAGGTCTCTACAGGAATGGTTTGCTGCCACTGACTGTCCCTTACGCAGCGAGGTGATTGACTTTGTGGTGCTGTTTGCATTGTTAGCCTTGGCACGGTTCCTACTCGTGGCAGTTTAACCCAGCAGTGCCAATGCCATTCCACCCATCAGCACCACCATCTGTAGTGCCATGGCCCCACACTGTCCACAGGAGGAAGACATAAATACACACATAAATTGCATACATCCACCTTCTTCGCTTTGCTGGCTTAAAACTAAAGGGGATAAATGAAGACACTGAACCATCACTCTTTGCCTTGATCAGTGAAGGCAGCAGAACAAGGACCCGATAGCAATGATTTGCCCTTTCTTGGCATAAAACGCTAATATAAACTGGATCTGAAAAATATCTTTACTTGCCATATTTCTTTGATTGCCAATACTATCCACTTTCCAAAGCAGCCAGGTTTTTGGGTCACTGCAAGAAAACACAACAGAAGTGATGCCACAAGAAACGACACTCTTTGATGAAGAAGAATGCATTAGTTACACATCTTTTCCAGCAGTGCTTTCATGAGGACCAACCAGGTGTGCCCTTACATGGCAGTTTAACTGCATCAGTGAAGCTCTGGATGAGTTTCCTAAAGAACCCAGAGGCCAACAGTCAATTTGTTACCAGAGCCCAGGTTTTTCATTTTCATGTTCATTTTCATGAACATTTTCATGTTCATTTTGCACAGAAATGCTACAACTTGGTTTTTCTAAGTGCTCGTCACTGTTCTAACCCCTGTGCCATGCAGCTGTGAGGGACCACGGGTCTCTGATTGCTTGGGGTGAGAGCTAATGGTACAGCAGGTTAGCTGGCCATATCTGGCCCTGTAACCCCACTAAATGGAGCTCCTTACATCTTCCTTTGAGCCTAACATAATGGGTGCTCTTGGGAATGAGAGGACACAGAAGCACAAACACATTGCAACTCTGAGCTCAAGTGGCAGATCCTATGCTCTTTTGAGCATGGCTCCTTCATTCTCCAAAGCAAAGAGTAGAAAAGGGAGATTTGAAAGTCCTACTAAGAAGTAATCTTTGGTGACAACTTTCACATTGCAATGTTTTCATTTCTCCATTGATGCCCCTCATTAAAACCAATCACAAAACGACAGCAACAAAACTGTAATTAGCCTTGATTTCCAAAGCAAAAGCATCCAAAGTTCAATAACAGACCTCTGTTCAAGGATTACTCAGATAACTGTCACGAAAACCACGAGCCATTTCTTTTTTTTTTTTTAGGATTGCTGTTTCAGGAGTCTCTGCCAGCAATGGTGCCAAGTGTCACCAGCAGCAGAATAGATGGCAATGCCATCACACGCACCACGTCTCAGGTCCAACAGTGACTCTCCCCAATTTGGGAACACGTGTTTGAAACCACTATCTGCATCCCTACAGACAACTTCCCTTCCTGGTACAGTGCTACACAACATGCCCAGCTTCCACGACACGTGCCATGCAAAGGAACTTTGCTCCCATTTGTCGTGGTATCTATTTGTCTTCCCTGACTCAGAGAGATTTGACCCTTCACTAACCTAAAACTTTTCTTCTGAATTCATAGAATATATAGGATACTCTTGAGAGATACAGGTGATTCCGGTAGAAAAATAAAGATGTTAGAAAAGGTAAATGGACATTCAGTACATCACATGCTCAGTGCACGACACACGACTGAGCTTTTAATATGCTATATTGTGCTATACCCTCTATAGTTATCTGTTCTTTTTAAGGCACACGACTTCTTAGTATTGCATATATGTACATCTTCCTAGTGTCAAAAAAATAATCCTTCATTTAGAATTTAAATCCTTCACATTCAAAATGTAAAGACTGATGCAGCATCCACTCCGCGGAGGTACAACCCTTAGGCAGGGAATTCCTATAGCAAAGCCAGTAACTCCTTGAACTTTCCCCCATCATTTTCCCACAAAGAAGTGAACAATCTGACGCTCTACTGAAAGCCACCACAATATCAGCAGATTTAAAAGAGAAAATCCAATGCCTCCAAATGCTTTCATAATGATAAAGATAACCTACATCACGTCACGCCCGTAACCTTCTGATGATCACCGTCTATAGCAAAACTGGTGGCTTCAACAGTCACCCCTATCTCCCCAAGTGACCTAAACAAAAGTACAAATACACAACTTCAAAAGAACCGGGAAGCTCTAAGAATTAAGCAAAAGACATTTAAATATATACATATAAAAACCCAATTCTCGGTACTTGTAAATATTCTTGCTTTCAAAGAAAAAGGCGATACCAATAAGGTATTTGCAACTGTTACATGAATGATCTGGTTGGATATAGTAACCTAGAGATTGGCTCTACGTTATACATTAGATCTAAACTCCTCTACCACTTGCTACTGTGATATTTGCCTTCATGCAAGCTCTTTTCTTTCATACCAAAAAGTGCTAAAAATGGGTTAATTCACGAATGAGGTCAATTGAGACAGTTACTCAACCAGCATCGCGTTTTTCCCTATGCTGTTCTTCACGTTATTCAGAAACAGTCCCATGGACTATTCAGGATACCTGTAACCACTGAACATAGGTTGCAATTTTCTGAGATTAGACTTTGCTCCGCCTTTGGATCCGTTGATCAAAACTGAGCTGCAATGAAATCCAACACTGCTTTCAACAGGAATGGGATCAGACCTCAACTCCATGCCCACACAAAGCTTTGTCCAGGCATATTCCACTTCTTCCACAAGCACAATCATGCATCACATAGGGGCTTAGATATATTTTCCAGAATAAATCAGTTTTTCTTTTCAAGAAGAGGGGGAAAAAGAGTATTTCCATCACACATTATTTAAAATGGCTTTTTTTTTTTTTTTTTTTTTTTTTTTTTTTTTTTTTTTTTTTTTTTTAGAGAGAGAGAGAGAGAGAAAGGTTTTAGTGTGAATAAGTTATGAAACTACATATGGGGTGAAACTCTACTGTATTTCTCACATGGTAACGACTGTGTTGAACAATCCAACCCATACATGAGCTTATTGTGAAAATCAGACACAAGGAAGTCAGATTTCGAACCAAATCTTGGTTCAGCAAGGAGGAACATGCAATGTGCAGCAGAGTGTATCCATGTTGTAAAGGCAAATGCCATTGGAAGAAGTGCAATTCTGGAAAGAGTTCACACCGAAATGGCCGGTGTGATTGCCAAAAGCCATATTCTCAGGCTGAGTAATGCAGATAAGCAGTGAACTTCCAAACTTACAGCCAGATTCTGCACACTCCCTTCACGTGAACACTTCTGCTGTAGACAGAGCCAATTTATCACACGCTGTTCATGTGAACCCTTCAACTCCATCTGAAGCAGGTACTTGAGTAAAGAAGGAGCACAGCACTCAAGAGCTGCTGCTAGCACACATCAGCCTTCCAGAAATAGAGACCATTGCATACTGACAATCTGCAGAGACCTTTCTGTCATGATGCTGTTTATAGCAGAGAATACAAGTTGGTCTGCTTCAAACCACATCTACAAAGAGGACTCGCAGACTGGTCTGGTGGTTGGCGGCCCTGCACATAGCAGGGGGGTTGAAACTTGATGATCATCGTGGTCTTTTTCAAGCCAGGCCATTCTATGAATATATGGAAAGTTTTTTGTTTTTTGGTTTGTTTTGTTTTGTTTTGGAAAGGTCCCTGACAACAAGCTGAGTTACAACAGCTTCACTCAAACTCACTGACTCTCAGAGCAAACGATGTCTCCAGACACAGAATCCTTAGAGTTGCAACATTCATCTGACCAGGGCAGTATGCTTCCTAGCATCCCACAAGACTCCAAGAGGTGTTGTGCATTGTGGGAGTCAGACTATTTGTACCTCAACAACTAACATCACTACTGGTACAGCCAGTTCAGCAAAAGTTCAAGTTGCAAAGAGAACTTCTGACCCATCTAACATATCATCTTACATCAATGCCAATACCAAAGAAATACAAAAGAGCACTGAGCACTGTCATCCTCATCTCTATTTCCCTGCATGCAGCTTTTACTGGCTGGGATTGGGACTTACCTGGTGGTTCCCGTCCTCTCCACCTGTAGGAAGAACTTCGATACAGTCAATGAGTGAGCAAAGCAAACACACAGCAACAGATTTACAGCACGGCTCTGAGCACCACCACATGCTGACCTGCTGAAGCTGATACCACCTGCTTGTCACACACCATGCTAAAATACAGAGAGATTTATTTCAAGCACTATCCCATCAAACAGCTCCAACGTGAAGGTGGATCATTTGACTTTATTTGGTTCCTTCCCAATGTTATTAATGCTACCAATAATACCTCTGATGATGATGATAATCCCTGTGAATTAGGAGCAACCCAATCAGAGCATGTAAATATTCACCCATCACGCATCAGAGATGATGGATCCACTTTCGTTTCCTGCAGTGGGAAGCAATGCTCAACCTCAGCTCGACACAATGAAACAGCAAAATAGAAGTCATTGCAATATACATCAGATATCACAGTTATATATTAGCGACATTTCCAGGGGGAACCATCCCCAAATGGTTCCAGGGAGTCCCCAGCACACAAGGAAAAGGAAAAGCTTCCTACACGAGGAAAGAAAAATAACTCGATGTAAGCCAAAAATTATCTCTTTTAATACAAAATTCCATCATCATAGAACAAATTTATTTCCACTGAATAAATAGATTTCCTCACCAGCCACGGGTGAGGTTGCTACCTATAGTTATGCTGAAATTCTCTTGCCTTCCTGCATTGTAATTAAAATATAAACACTATTTGCAACTGGCTTTGCTATATTTGGATACAAGTATGAACACTCGGGGTCTGATGGCATTGCCAAATGTATGCAGCACCGCTCTCACTAGGGGTTGTACTTCAACCTGATTTGTACAGCTCCACGTGCTCCTTGCATGTCCCCTTATCAATGCAGTTATGATTATCACACCACAATGATTATCATAAGAAAGATCTGGCCTCTGCACTCGGATGTTTATTATTTTTGACATGTCCATGCTCTTCTACTGTGCATCAA